CTTAATGAATAGCACACTCTGGAGGAAACCCCTGAGGAAACCTCTTAGCATCAGTACAATAATTATAAACCATATAATTATCTTGCACCCATTTCAATCTTCCCTGGTTTGGAGCATCCAATTCTTCATTTTGCCACCCACTTGAAGCTGGAGAATTGCAAGACGAAGAAGACCCGAACGCCGGCACACAAGCATCGGCAGTGAAATTACGATACGAGGCCGTGAATGGGGCATTGGCCCAATCCGTCTCCACAAGCCCACCTCTCGTGGCCCAATCATCTGCGTTCCAAAGGCTCGAGTAAATCCTCATGGGCTGGCTCTTCGGGTAAGCCACCCCAACCGACTCCGAATTCTTGAACTCTCTTATCGGCGTCCCATCCACCGAAAAACTGCGAAAAAAAAACAAGTAAAACAAACTCAACTAATTAGATACTGATATCGTGTATATTTATGTATTTACTATTAACCTTGAGTTGTCTTTAGGTAACTGGAGCCTTAATTTTGTGTATATATTATTGGTTAATAGAGTTATATTATCTGATGAGATGATCTTTATCACAGTCTTCGTCTCGTCTCTCTCGTATCAGATACATTATGCAAATTCAAGAAAATAAAAGCCCATATCACCATTTGGTAAAAAAAAAAGCTAAGGAAAAAAAAAAATAAATTACTGACATGATCCTTTGAGCATTCCATAGGATAGTATAAGTGTGGAAATCCGCGGTTGGGTCGAACCATAGATGAAACTGTTGCTCCCGACCGCCTTTTCCTTGGCTAAAAACGTTCGTGTGAAGAGTGTAAGGATCGCCGCTTAAATTACCCAAGAACTCGAAGTCTATCTCGTCGTGTGTTGGGCCTTGTGACGACAACTGCATCGGACAAAAATAAATAAATAAATACACAATTTTTATAGCTCATGAAGAGACAAAGAATAATTTGGAAGAGGATTTCGAAACATGCGAGCTTACGTAATAGGCAGTGACGGTGCCAGCTGAATTTCCAGGGACGAGCTTGAGCTGCATGTCGATTTTTCCGAACAAGTACTCGTTCTTGGATTGGAAGCCCGAGCCCGAGGTTTTATCGAGCGATAGAGTTAAGAGTTGCCCGTTTTCGAGAATCTTGGCCCGGCCATCGCCCCATGTTATTTCGAAATCTTGATAGAAATTGCTCCCTAATGTAAACATAGGATGAGTTACCAAGAATATGAATGCTAGGGATGCATAGTAGAAGGAAGCCATTTTTTCGTGTTTGGTATAGTGTAAAACTATGTAAAATGTTGGTAAATTTTGTAGGAAAAAGAGGAATATTTTAGGATTGTATGATATGAAATTGCACATGTTGAAGGGGGTTTATATAGTGTGGTGATTGGAAATATGCATAGCAAGTTCCTATGGGACTAAGTTGTGGGGTAAGGTGAAAAAAAAGTTGGTAATGGGTTTTGAGCTGGACACAGATGGAGTTAATGACATTTAATTATGGAGAAATAAAGGCACAAATAAAGGCACATAAAGGCAATGTCTCCATTTGAATTAAAACAACACGGTTTCGTGAAGCTTTTTCAAACGTATAAATAAAAATTGATAGTTATGATAGTGAGCGTGCTTTTTATTTTGGTTTATCAATTATTATATTTGAGTTCATATGATAAAAAATGCAACATTCAGAGTTTTAAGTGGTTTTTATTTTAGTTTATTATATTTCATTTTTTAATTTCGTTTTTGGGTTTTTTTTCTATTTTGTTTATGTTGTTTTTTTAGATTACGACATTTTAATTTAAAAATATTTATATATGTTGAAAAAGTATGATTGTACATAAAGTCTTCTATAGACATAATTTTTATGTTTTTAGATTTTAAAAAGCTATTTATTCATTTTAGACTTGAAAAAAGTTCTAAAAATTTGAGAAGTATTCAATTGTGATTTTAAAAACTTTTAAAAAGTCATGGTATACATATTTTTTTTACCTCTTGAGAAACAAAATACATATATCAGACACAAATAATACATCTAACTTATGATTTCTAAGGATTTACTAAACTCATCAAATCTCAAAAGGTCTTGAATTTTAAAAAGTATTAAAATGTCATGTAAAATCTCAGATAAATATTAAATACAACCTCCTAAATTTTTAAACTTGAAGACTTATTGGTGCCAGAATCGCAATTTTTTCCACCAATCTAATTCATCATCTTAATTTATCACGAAATAGGAANAAAAACTGTAATGACATACGCTAGGTATAACTTATAATTCTTAATGCAAATTGTAAGTTTAAATATGATACAATTAGTAAGACTCAGATCAGAGGTTGAATTGTATTTGATTGACGTGGGAGGCCGATTTCAAATGGTAGCTGCGAATGAATGAGAAGAAGGTAACCTATCTTTATAAATACTACTAGTACAATGCCCGTGTATTACACAGGTACTTGTTAAAAAATTATTTTTAAATTTTAAAATTAATGAGAAAAATTATTTTAAATTTTATTTACTTTTTTACAAAAAATATATATTATTATATGTTTTAGAATATAGTAATTTTTATAACTTATATCATATAATTACTTGAAATATAAATATATTAATTGATAAATAATTTAATTTTTTAATTAATATTAAAAATAATTTTATTATTGTTATAAAGATAAATATAATTTATATTTTTATACATACAATACGGATGTTAAATCGAAACTCATCAAGAGATGATTAATTTGATATATTATATGTGTAAAACTGAAAAAAAATACAAAAGTTATTAACTTTTAAAATATATTTACAATTCAATGGTTATAATAAGAAATGATATTAAAATGTAATTAATACATGTAACATGACCATAAATAATCAACATATTTACGGATAATCCGAACCTAATTATTTTTGAATTGGAAGTAAATTAAAATCTACTCAATCCTAATAACGAAACATATAATTTTGCCACATAAAATCCCGAAACATGCGAGCATACCAACTTAAGCTGGACACGTTTTGAATTAATATATAGGGGAATTATACCTTAATATCACTTTGCACAACAATCTTGTTTGCAGCAACATAGAAAAATTTCTTTGTGTACATCAAGAGGAAATGATTATGTGGTAAGGATTTCCCATTTTTGTTACACTTTGATGATTGGAAAGTCAAAGCATAGAAGAAAGTCAATATACAGACAACGAATTCATACAAATACTATTGGCTCAATTTTAAAGGACGAAATTTTTTTATTATACGCACGCTCCCAAAGGTCTATTAATCGTCCGTGTAAGATTGAGTTGGTGCATGCATATTTAGTGGTTCACTATATTTAATAACCTTATTTGAAAATAGGTTAGTTTCCACTTGACAAACTTCTAAATGTTTCTATAGCGTTCGACTCTCAATGTAACTCATTATTACTTCTTAAATGGGTGGTGAGCATCAAAATCTGTCAATCGCCACTGTAAGAAAAGGTGAATTGCGGTTTCAGTATCCAAATTAAGGCATAATTTTAAAGTCGGTAACCCACATTCACATTATTTTAATTTCAGTATTCACATGAATTTCATACTCAATTGCTTGTGGACTCTTTATGTTATTTTCGAAAAATAATATAAATAAAATATGTTATTTCATAAAATAAGTATGCGTTTTTTATTAAAACGATATAACAAGTCGATCCACATAAGTTTAACACCTCATATTATTGGCAATAATATTAGTGTATATGTTTCGTTAATCAACTATCCACACCCAACGATGCAAATACATTGTTTAAGAAAAAAAAATAATGGCACAAATTGTCCTAAATCCAACCAAAATCAACTTTGAAGGAAAAAAAAAAAGAAGAAGAAAATTAATGAAACAAAAATTGTGTAACATTACATTGACCAATCATATTAATTAATTAATCAATAATTTCACTTAATTAATTAATTAATTAATTAATTAATTAATGGCACACTCTTTAGGTAAGCCCTAAGGAAACCTCTTGGCATCAGCACAATAGTCATATATCATGTAATTTTGCTTCACCCATTTCAATATCTCTCTCGGCGCTTGTGCCATCCAATTCTTTATTTTGCCACCCGTGGGCCCCACCTTCAGATGTAAGATTGCAAGACGCAATGAATTCGATGCCACGCATGCGTGGGCCTTGAAATTGCGATACGAGGCCGTGAATGGGGCCTTGGTCCAGTCCGTCTTCACAAGCCCAACTCTCGTGGCCCAATCATCCTCGTTACAAAGGCTCGAGTAAATATCCTAATGGGCTGGCTCTTCGGGTAAGCCATCCCAATCGACTCCAGATTCTTGAACTCCCTTAACGGCGTTCCGTCTACCGAAAAACTAGAAATCATCAAATCGAATGAATTTTAGCGTGTATTCATTGAAATATTCATTTGCGACTTTGGACGACATTTTAAGATTTTATACAGCTGAAATATTTGAAAATTTTAATATTGCATAATTTGGTTGTAATACGATTTTGTTTATGTAATTTGTGTTTGAAATCTGACTAAATCTTTAAGAAATCCAAACAAATTCAACAGTAAATAAATTGAATACTCATGAAAGTTTTTAATACTTATTAAAATTTTATAGCTCCAATACTTTTACAGGTTTCAAAAAGTCCAAATTATATATGGTACGCAAATCTCAAAAATTGAAATTTTATAGCTCTAATACTTTTACAGGTTTCAAAAAGTATTATCGATTTTGCCGAACAAATACTCGTTCTTGGACTGAAAACCCGAGCCGGAGGTTTTATCGAGCGATAGAGTTAAGAGTTGCCCGTTTTCGAGCACCTTGGCTCGTTCGTGGCCCATGTTATTTCGAAATCTTGATAAAAATTGCTACATAATGCAAAAATTGAAAAAGTGAACAAAAATATGAATGCTAATAATAGTGGTGATTAATTGGAGGAGACCATTAGGAGTTTGAACAATTGTTATTATCAATGAGACAATAAAATCAATCAAATGTTTTTGAAAAGTGAGAATATGTTAAAGAGGGGATATATTATGATATGAAGTTTGATATTTTTGGTGGTATTTTTTAATAGGGTTTTTTGTTCTTGTATGAAGTGTGGGGTGAAAAATAATGTGAAGTTTTAATTATTGACACTTGACAGCCCATACCACAATTGGCAAAAAAACACGGTCTATTCTTTAGTTTAGATGGTTCTTTTTTGGATATTTTATGATGGAGAATGACTTTTGTTCTTCTAGTGGGTATTATCTTNATGAAGTGTATTTTCTTCTAGTGAGTAATTTATTTTTTATTTGGAAAATTAAATGTGCACGGATTACAATAATATGCACTTTGGAAAATTAAGCAATGACTATAATCTTAAACACAACAATTAGTTTTTCTAATTAATAAGAAAACTAATTTTTAAAAATACAGATATTATTATATGTCATATGAAAGTATGTAACAATATTGGATTAATATGTGTCATTAACCATTAAATAGTGTAACATAACACTATAAACCTAAAATGGTGTTGGGTAAATCTAACCATTTAGCAATCATATTTTTCTTTTTATCAAAGCTACATACTTTCTTCAATAAATGACATATTTTAAAAATACAACATAAATAAAAGTTTGATATTTTTTTTAACATATATTGTAGCTTGATGGGGACCAGTATTTACCAACTGTATCCATAAATTAACTGCTTTAAAATTTCGTTTCATTATAAAGTAAATGTGTACAAGTTCAAATAACAGCTACCTTGTAATTAAATAATTGTAAAGGTGCAACTAAGTTTCGAATGTATTAAATTTAAGATATGAATCAACTTTCAATGATGTTTATAATTAGAGAAAATTACTCTCCACACTATACCACAACATTTATATTACACTTCCACGGCTTAATAAAAATCTTTAGCAAATGTACCAAATTTATTATTTTTATTTGCAACACACGAGGAGTTCGGTTAATCATTATAAATATATTGTCTATAATTAAGAGGGATTTAAGGGGATTTGTGCTTGATTTTTTTATCTTCCCCTACAACTGAATTATTTTTTTTAGATCGATCGAGTTATATAGTCGAGTCAAGGTTTCTCGATCGATCTTCACGATTCTGTCCTAAAATTTCCCGTGAACATCAAAAGTTCCAACAATTAATGGCGTGGACTGAAAGAGGCCGACGGGCGTGCTTTGACGGGGCAAAGTCAATCTCCTGAATTGAACATCCAATATTTGCACGGTGAGCGGCGGGTGGTCGTTGGCCATCTGGTATAGCAATTAGAAAGTCGAAGGTTCGACTGGATGGTGGCCATCCGAGTTGAGCACCAACGGTGAGCGCGGCGCGGCGGTAGTCGGCTTTTTCGAACTGATTGTTCTGTCTGTACGACGATGTGTACGACGACTTGTGTATATAGACAGTATATTTTTCGATCGAGGATGGTAGTCGGCTTTCTCGGACTCATTAATTCCCCGGACTGATTGTTGAGTATATAAACCGTATATTTTCTATTTATACGCAATTTATGTTTTGTATATTAGACGATTTTACGGATACATACAAAGAAGCATTTTTGTTGATTATTGGCTATTTTTCATAATTATGTATATGTTGCATTTATATACAGTATATTTTCTGTATATGTTGCGTTTTTAAACATTTTATTTTGGATTCCGGCGATGTCGACATATTGATAACAATACATAAACTGATTATATATCAAACATAAACTCTGTAACTGATTATAATAATACTGATCACATATCAAATACATTACATTAACAACCATACACCACCAGAAAAATAACAACAAAAGTTTTACTTAAAAAACACTATAAATTGCAAATTCTTGCAGACGAAACATATACAAAAATATAAAATACATAAACTGAAGATATACCTAACATAAAATACTAATAAACGTTATATACAAAAATATACAATACATAAACTGAACATATGCCAAACAAAAAAATACTACTAAACGTTATATAAATATTAGTTCGGAAAATGATTTAAATTGATGTTTATCAGTTTTTTTCTCGATAATGGAGAGAAACATAATACATGTATTTTTTATTAATGAAGGAATTGTTGCACATCGCCACTATCATTCCCAACGGCTAGTCGCCTGATTCTTCTCTCCTTCCCCGTCCTTTTCGTCAGTTACAGAGTATTCATAAGGTAAGTTTTTTTTATTTGTTCAATGCCCCGTTTTTTATTACCTGGTAATAATCCAAATATATAGGTTTGTAAGTTTTTTTTATTTGTTCAATGCCCCGTTTTTTATTACCTGGTAATAATCCAAATATATAGGTTTATTTACGTACATGTGCAATAAAGTTTTGCATTTAGTATTCTTGCAATATTTTAACAATCAATACAGTAGGAATGTAAATTGCCCTTATAATTATCAGTATTAAACGTTGGCCCAAATTACCCTCAGATAGCTCTTCGGGCTAGTTCAAAATATCATGCCTAAGCCATTGAGCCCATCAAAACGTTTTGGCCCAATTATTGTATGGACCTTATTATTGGGCCAATAAGACAGACCCAAATCTGGCTTTTGCTATATCTTGAGCTAAAGTTTAACTAACCTGATCACGATTACAACAGTCAATAGTTTAGTCTTTACTAATTACTAAAGTAACACATCGATTGACTATATACTGAATTATAAATCAACTGGTTATTATTTGAATAACATAATATCTATTATCTTGCACAATTAAAATGGCATTTTAAGTTTGTAATAATCTGTTCCAACTTAGTTAATAACTTAATTAGTGATTGATTTAATTTAATTGATTTAACTAAAACCATAAAATATATTCAGATTTCTATCAATTGAGTAATTAGAAATTACATATATAATATTAAATACATGCATCATGTAATATTATCAGGATGACCCAATACAAAATTTATTATCATATTATTAAAAATTAATATTCAAATATTGCCATCATATGATTGGGTAAGATGAATGATACACACCTTTAAAAGGAGTCTTGAATATTTTCTCATATATACATAGCCTAACTATTAGGTGGATTGACTCGTTATACATTTAATATAATATAAAACTGCATACTTTATGTTTTGCCATTTTATACTCTTTTTCATAGTATTTTAAAGTATGACATTTCACTCGTAGCCTGCAAAACAATAAAACTTACTTTTTTTCTCACATAAACTCACGTACTACACTTTTTCTTTTGGTACTAATTAATTAATCACACTCAAACCATAAAACATAAAAACAAGCATGACCAAAAAAATCCAACAATCTGAACAAACAAAATATTCTAGCCACATCAAACACACAAACACAAACACAACATCTAAATTAAATAAAAGGATTAAAAATAAATAAATCAAAGCCTCAAAGACAAATCAAGCTGGCTAATTTCCTCCTCTTGATGAACACCAACACTAATAACCTCATCTCCATCATACCAATTATCAACATACCCATAATTCAAATCTATACCCACAAGCCCGCCGGCCCGACCCCACCGCTCGGGCCCAACATTCGAGCCCAACCGAGGCCCAACAGACGAACCCAACTCTCTACTTTTCTTGGCTAAGGTTCTCTCCAATTTGTGAGCATTTTGGTGGCCCCCAAGGGCTTGGGAGCTATAAAACTTCCTTCTACAATAATTGCACGAAAAGACCCTTTGCTCGAATGGGCTCAAAGGAGGCGAAATCGAAGGGGAAATTGGGTCGAGTGCCAACTCGAGGCTAATCGGGTTCGTATATTCATTCTTCTTGTTCTTTCTTGATGATGATGATGAGTAAATTTTGTTCATGGCTAATATATTTTGTGATATATAATTAAGTTGTTTGTAGCTTAAATTTTGTAGGAGAGTTTTCTTTTTTTTTTTTTTTTTTTTTTTG